CACAGTCTTTTCCCTCTTTTTGTTTGTAGTTGTCTTCACCTGCCAATTGATGTCTCCGGTTTCCTGTTTACAATCTTGTAAGCTCATTTCACTTTGGATATGTCCATAGCTGTGGTTTCTGGGTTATGTTATCTTGTGTATTAATGGTCAGTTGTTATTTGCTTTTTTTGGTTCTCTGATGAAAGGACTTATTGGGAGCAATTTATATGTTGTTGTTGTGTGTCATCAAGTTGATTCCAACTGAGAGCAACCTTACAGGACAGAGTAGAACTTCCCCACAAGGTTTCCAAGGCTGTAATCTTTACAGAAGCAGACTGACACATCTTTCTCCTATGGAGCAGCTGGTGGTTTTGAAACACTAAACTTTCAGTTAGTAGCTGTAACGTTCAGTTACAGTTAACTACTGTACCACCAGGACTCTTTGTTTGTATCTTAGACACATTATATTTATGCTCAATTAAAGTTCAAAACAATCTGGTGAGATGGTGGGCTTTAGCTATTTTACAGATGAAGAAACAGAGGCCCATTGAAGTTACATGCCCTGCCCAAGGTTATATAGATAGCAAGGGGTGAAACTGGGAATCAGGCCTAGGTCTGTTTAACTCCATTTCATTTTCACTGGACTCTGGAGGGAAATACAGAATTATTTCTAGCTAACGACATACATACTATACTGGCAAGTAAGAACATTCCTGTCTTAACTTTCTGACATTTAACTAAGTAACAGGGTTCTAGTCTGATGCCAAAATAAGAAGTATAATGGTGTAATGAACAAAGTCAAGCTTTTGGAGATGAACAGATTTGGGATTATTGGAGTGGGAGGAGGTTGGATATTTTTAGTTGCCCAGTATACAATCTGCCTTCTTTTGATTAAAGTACTTTGATTTCCATGAGGAATTACTTTTCTATTGTTTAGTCTGCTGGGTTGATTACTCAAGGTGGCCTGCCTCTTGCCTAGCCAAGAGAAGGTCATGAGACCAAGCTAGGTTGTTGTTAGGTGTCATTGAGTGGTTTCTGATGCATAGCAACCCTATGTACAGCAGAATGAAACATTGCCTGGTTCTACACCAGCCCCACAATCCCTGCTATAACTGAGCCCACTGTTGCAGCCACTGTGTCAATCCATCTTGTTGAGGGTCTTCCCCTTTTTCACTGACCCTCCACTTTACCAAGCATGATATCCTTCTCCAGGGAATGGTCCCTTCTTACAACATGACCAAAGTAGATCACACAAAGTCTGACCATTCTCGCTTCCAAGGAGCATTCCAACTGCACTTCTTCCAGGACAGATTTGTAAGTTCTTTTTAGTAGTCCATGGCACTATCAATATTCTTTGCCAACACCACAACTCAAAAGCATAGACTTTTCTTCAGCCTTCCTTATTCACTGTCCAGCTCTCACGATCACATGCTGTGGTTATATGCCATCGAGTCAGACCCGACTCATAGCGGCCCCTCCTTGGGTTGCTGAGGCAGTATCACTACGGAAGCAGAGAGCCCCATCTTCCTTCCGAGGAGTAGCTGGTGGGTTTGAACCGCCAGCCTTCTGGTTAGCAGTCAAGTGCCTTAGGCACTATGCTACCAGAGCTCTATACGATCATATGAGGCAACTGAAAATGCCATGGCTTGTGTCAGGCACACCTTAGTCTTCAAGGAGGTATCTTTGTTCTTCAGCACTTTAAAAAGGTCTTTTGCAGCAGATTTGCCCAATGCAATACATCTTCTGATGTCTTGACTGAAAATGGCTTATCTTTATTTTATAGATGAGTTGGTCATTCAAAGTAGCATTGGTGCCCTGAACAGACAGTTGCTAATAGTAATAACTTTGCTCCTCAGAAACTGTTAAGTCTTTTCCTCTCTATTTTGTTAGCCACCTAACAATTTTTTTTGCAATAATTTATTTATTTTTGCAATAAATTTATTTTTGCAATAAATTTCTTCTTTTGCTTAAGTTAGCTAGAATGTATTTCTAGTGTTTGCAACCAAAAATTTAATCCTGGTTCTAACACTTACTACTAGGTAACTTTTTGCAAGTTATTTAACTGATCTAAGTCTCATCTTTAAAGTAAGGATGTACACATATGTCCTAAACTGTTGTTGTGAAGATTAAAGAAAAAGGGTCTGGCAGAGTGCCTAATAGATAGGTGGCCCCAAAAAAACAGTAAACTTTGCTGCAGTCTTTCTTACAACTTCCTATCATTTATAGAGTGCCTCAAAACCTGTCCTTTAGAGTGCTATAACAAAATACTTTAAGATGGAGAACTTTTTAAAGCTGTCTTATAGTAGCTTCAATATATATCCTCAATCTGCTTGCCTCTGCCTTTCTTCCTTTCTGAAGGTAGGCTTCCCATAAGAAGGTAATGATGGTGACTGAGAGGCCCATTCTGCCTCCTTGATCTATGGGGTTCAAAAATTACATTAGCAAATACTGTATTTTGGGGACTGATACAAGATTTCCTCAGATGCTACATCTGAATCTTTGAATCTCTTACACAACAATGCCTTCCTGCAGTTGTCTGCTGCTACCATAAAACCAGTTGTTGTTGAGCTGATTCCTACTCATGGTGATCTCATGTGTACAGAGTTGAACTGTGCTCCATAGAGTTTTCAATGGCAGTAGATTACCAGGCCTTTCTTCTGAGGTACTTCTGGGTAGACTTGAACCTCTAATCTTTCAGATGGCAGCTGAGCATTTAATCATTTGCACCATACTAAGGGAATAAAGAGGAGCTCTGGTAGCTTAGTGTCTAAGGCACTTGACTGCTAACCAGGAGGCTGGCAGTTCAAATGCACCAGTCACTCCTTGGAAGGAAGATGGGGCAATCTACTTCCATAGCGATACTGCCTTGGAAACCCAAGGAGGGGTCGCTATGAGTTGAGTCCCACTTGATGGCACATAACAACAACAACAATGGAATAAAGAGGGGCTCAGATAACAGCTAATTATCTGAGTCATCCCATGTTTAGCTAAGTTACAAAACGCACACAAAATGAGATCATTACACTATTATTAATTGGCAGCTATAAAAGTACATTTGAGCAGGCAATTTATAGATAGAAAGCATGGTCAAAGTCTAGAGCTGTCCAGTTAAAAATTATATATTTCTTTTTCTTATTGTTTATGTTTTTACCTTTTTTCCTTTAAACCAATTGTTTTTAATCTTTTTTGAGGGTCATAAAGCTCTGCAATGAAAGCTATGAATCCTCTTCCTAGAAAAATGCACATGAATATAAAATTTTGCTAATACAAGGTTAAAAACTCCTGCTCTAAGCTGAGAAACTCTATTCCTAGTTTGTATAGGAAACAAGATCCTTTCTGACTGATTATTTGCACGATTTCTAAATTAGGGCAAAGTAGGTTTTCTAGATGACTTCCCAAGACTTTGAGCTGGTTGTTTTCTTTTTCCTGGTTCCTTGGAGCTAGAAAATCCTTGGATTAGACTTTCTTCAAGTCAACTTGAGGAAAGGTTTGTTTTCATGAGGCAGGCCTG